TCCTTGCCTTTGTATAGAAAGAAAACACAAATGCCAAGCTCCTTTTGTCTATGGTCCCTTTTGTCCACAAGAAAACAGTCTGGTTTAAGGTTGGGCTTTTAGGGGGTCCTTAAGTTATTATTCTGACCACACTGTCAGTGACTGCTTCACCGCAGCCCACAGGCAACAGGCAGCATCTTCCTCTCATCCACTTAACAGAGCTGATTTGTCCAAGAGAAAGCATGGTTATCTGGACTTCAGAGAGAAGTGATTTCTAATTTCTAAACTGCAGAACAACTAGGGGAGAATTGCACAGCTCAAAGGAAATGAACAACAACTCCATTACCTGGAAAGGGTGGAATAACAATCATGTAAGGAAGGCATTCCAGAGCCTTGAGATGTCCCTCATATACTGTGCAGGTCAATAAATGAATCTGAACTGCTAACTACTAAATGTTGTAAGAATGGTTCTGTTTTGTTCCCCAATACATTTTAGTGAGCATATAGACTACCATCCATAGATTGTCTATACCAGGGGTGGGCAAACTTTTTGACTCGAGGGCCACAATGGGTTCTTAAACTGGACCAGAGGGCCGGAACAAAAGCATGGATGGAGTGTTTGTGTGAACTAATATAAATTCAAAGTAAACATCATTACATAAAAGGGTACAGTCTTTTATTTCAATAGTTTTATTCATTTCAAACGGGCCGGATCCGGCCCGCGGGCCATAGTTTGCCCACGGTTGGTCTATACACCCTAAGACAATGCTACTCAAAGTATGGTCCATGGACCAGTGCCACTCTGAAAGTATTAATAGAAATATCAAGGGTAAAAAGAAAGTTTTATATTAACTTGATAGAATAACTATTTGTTGAATAAAAACAGAACTTATATTTTATACCTTTACTATAAGTGGTTTTTTAATTTAGTAATTCATTTTTATTGTATGTTACAAAAATATTGGATTGTGACAGTCTGGAAAAAAATAGAACTGATCTTTTATCACAGATAGTTTACAAGCAATAAACTAAGGTTTTCATATCCTAAGTTTATAAACGGCAAGCTAACATTTATTGAGCACTTACTACATGCCAAATACGTTTACTTTACACAAAATATTTTATTAAATCCTCACAGCAAGGAAAGTCCTACCTCTATACTCTTTTTTCCAAATGAGAAAACTAAGGCACAGAGTACAACTTGGTACAACCTGACCTAGTATCAGAGTAAAGAATATGTCTGACTTCTGAACTGAAGTCCCACAGAGTTTTGAAAACAACACAAATTAGGGGGGTCGGGGGGGGGGGGGGGAGGTGGATCACTTACTTAGATATAATAAAAAATAGAATTCTTTAATGCATGGTGAACCAGCTGGCATTTGTTAACCATGGGATTTTGATTCAGACTCTGCTGTGTATAAAACAGTAAATCCACTTTACCTGCCTCAAGTAAAGGTAGATGGGTAGTCCCAACAATACATATACATATCACAGGGATCCAATAGCAGGAATTAGATCATTGTCAGAAACCAAAGCTGGCTGGCTGTCTCTCTCGGGGGCTATGCAGTCACTGATATTATGCATACCTCTGCTTTCTTCTCTCTGCCCAGGGCTTCCCCTGCTTCAACGTGCACACAACCATAGATGTTCCAACCCAAGAAGACCTGCCATCACCAGATTAAATTTCCCTTTGCCTCTCTTTTAAGTTCACATTTCTCTGTGAGCCACACAGGTCAGAGGTTAAGGGCTGGCTACCTCATGACTCAGGCACCCCTTCTTGTCCAGTAGCTTCACATGGTGGTCAAGTGAATCCATCTATAATGGCTAAGGGTCAGGGTAGGCCTATAAAGTCAATGAAAGTCTACACTTCTTCCTACTATTATGTTACCTGACCTTTGAGAAGATGGAAACAGTCTGTAGGTGGGAAAAAAAAAAAAAAAAAAACATATTTGGACTCAAGGATTTGTTTCATTTTGCAGGACTTGAGGAGAGAGTAAGAAAAACATTGGAAAAAATTAATAAAAATGGTACAAAACAAACAAACAAACAAAAAACAGAATTACAACAGAAAAAATAAGATATGTGAAGGCTTTTAAGATATGAAACACAGGTCCAAGCCAAAAACAGTTGACACTTTGAGAAAAGTAGGATTGATTAGTAATTGGGATCCTGAGAATAGTACAGAAAAACATGCAGTTAAATATCCACTGTATGAACTTTTCATTGTTGACTAATGCTGTTACAGTATGGTAGGGTGCTCTACCCAACAAAGAGATCTTGGGTAGAAAGGTTTGACACCTAGATCAACAGAACAATGTTAAGTTCTCAGTCCAGAGGGGAAAAGAGCAGAAAGCCAAAAAAAAAGAAAGGACTTGGGAGGAAAGGCTTTCACATTCAGAAGCAGCTAAAAGCCTTCCCAGGAGAAGTGTTTGGTATTGTTGGTGAAGCAGGAGGGAAACCTAAGAACTAGAAACCAGTCATAACCTTAATTTTAAAAATTGGTGGAGGGGGCTTTCAAGACTGATAATTGTCATTCAACATGGAAACGAGTAAAAATTTTGATAAGAATAATTTCTGTAGCTAGAATGAATAAACAAGTAAGTGAATATGGCAGCCTTTTCTATACTTCTAAATAAAGGGAAGGTATGTACATGGAAAGGTAGCAGCTATACAAGGTTCTAAGATGGTTGTTTGAATACCAGCAGTGTGTGTACATGCTAAGAGGATGCAACTCATGAAAAGTGAGCAGTTCCACAAAAGAGAGGCAGTTGCCAGCTCAGACAATGTCCCTGATGGCACTGCCCATCACCTTCTGTCCAGAGTGAAAAGCATATATGAATATGAGTTGGCAACAGAGATCTGAAAGAAACATCTGTCATACTAAACATTTGGCATTCAAGGACTTAACACTTGGGGTTTCAAGGTTCACTACATATAATAAATTAGTTTGCTAAGAATGAATTTGCATTGTGTTGCAGGACAGCTGAGTAGGCATGAGTTACTTGGCTGATCAGTGAGCCTAACAAGATCAGCTCATTATGATTTTATAGTTTTTATTTAACACAGGATCTTAATTCTCACAACTGTGAGAGGTATAGTATTGTCATCCACATTTTACAGCGAAGAAAACTAAGTAAAAGATAAGCTACAGTGGTATTCTGAAGGTCTCAGAACACATCTCCCACAAATTAGAAGTCTACTATATGCCATTCAATGTTTATGCCTGATCTCCCAATTAGACTTTGTCTTTGAGAGTAGGAACTATATGTACACTTTGCTCTACATTGCTTAATGTAAAGCAATAAACACAGTAGATATTCAAAAAAATTACCTTTTGAACCAATGTAATTTATTTACACACTTCTTTCAAGTTTCAGAGGCCAGGTTATAAGTATTATTCTTAGAAGGAAACAGTTTAAGTTTAAATTAAAAGCCTGAAGAACTTGCTTCTATTTGGCCTCAATTTAATTCTGAGACTGGAAGATAAAAGTTATGCCAATTTAATGGAAAGATGTTGAAAGTACAAATATAACCAGGAAGCAGCTTCAGAAAATGCTCATTTACATAACGCAAGCATCACAAGGACAAGGTCTTTTAGTAAGGTTCAATAGTGTTCATATCAAATTGTTTTAGATTCAACTATTAATATTTATATATTTGACAATTTATGTAAACTCATTACCATTTCTATTCATAATGTGTATCTGTATTATTTAAACAACATCTTTTGAATGGTGAAACAACACAGATAAAATACACCACAGCCAACAGAAAATACATGATTATGCTAACTGCTTTAAACTATAGGTTTATTTTAAGGTAAAAATCTATTTTTAACATTGTGCACATAACAACAGAGGACAAATTCTCAGATTTGAAGCCATCTATACGATTCCAATACTAACATTTCTATCATGATGAAATCGGGCTAAAATGCACTTGCAGGGAACCATCACTACTATGGAAAAACTGATAGCACTGAAACATTTTCTGATGTTGCACGTTAATTTCACAGAGCTAGACTGTAGCTTGATTTATGGACCACTGTACGGTTTTAGGCCATGTTGCATCATGTCGTTAAAACTGCAGCCCAAAAGCAAAGCCCTGCATTTAAGAGAATTCTGAAAGTAAAATGGGCTGCCATATTCCAGTCTTCACTATTCCATTTCCACTCACCATGGATTTAGCTCTTTAATTCTTCACTAAGTTCTTAACTGAAGCCTACAAATGGATACTAATCCTGAAGATGACACTTAACTCTGCAGATACATTTGAAGGGGCCAGATCTTCTAAAAGCTTAAGAAATACACGAAGCAAACTTAGAAGAAATATTTTACCATAATTCACAACTACAGTAAACAAACCCTCGATTTTGCAGACCTCACTTTAGTGGAATTTGGATTTAACAGACAAAATTTCCGGTCTATGTGTCATATGTGAAAACTAACATCCTGTTAATTTTAAAATGCTTTTAACCAAGATTTGCTTACAATTAACAAATTTTAGCAAATACACCCTATGTTAGAAAAACACCATAGTAATTTCGTTGACATAAATAAATATTACATAGCTACAACTATAGTCTATGTAAATCCAAGAGTTATCACTCATAAACTATGTTTGGCAAATGATTAGCAACGTGATCACACCACATCAGGAGCAGTAATTGGTTCTGTTGTCACGTGGCGTGACTTTCTATATCAGTTTTAAGGCTTGTTGGCCATTCCCACATGCACTAAGCCACGCCCCAGTCGTGTGCATTTGTTTACTCGTGGTGATGGGTAAATGTACAAATTCAGTACAAATTTTAAATTACTGTAATGCACAAAAAGCTTTTGTGTAAAATTAAACTTTTCATACATACTTAATTTTCATACATACTGAATACTTAATTTTAATTACATAAACGTGTCTACATAAGCAAAAGTAAGTAAACCAATTTGCCAAATTTTTAACATTTGCATTTGGAAAACCTATCTTATTATATAACAGATTTTTGGTTTTAAGGGACACCCACTCACCAGAATTAGTTCGTCATATCAAGATTCTATTCTACTTTTCCATGGGAATTTACCTTTATAAAAATAAAAGGGGCAAAAGTAGGCTTATAGTTGTGAGTATGCAAAACACAGTTTATTCTTGTCCTTTTGTTTATTATTGTATTATTTTCCATATGAACAATTGTAAACCTACTTTTCCTCAACCCAGTATAAGCAATGTAAACAGAAGGTACCTTTGCCTGTCTGGGGGCCTCTTAAAAAGCCTAAGTGTGGAAGAAGAGCTGATGTATATTCATTCCAAACTTTACGTTCAGAATCTTGTCTAGTTCAAGTAAGTCTAGTTCAATTTTCTTCTAATAGAAATCAAACAAGTGCTCAATATCCTGGATCAAACATTTAGCTACCGGGATTAGAGTGATTACAGTGGTATAACATTATAAAAATAATCTCATTTACAGTTAATGGTCAAGAGTAGACCTAAAGCAATTTTTCAAAAATCTTATTTTTATACTGAAAACTTACACATCTAAATAAATATAGCCCTAGCTGGTTTGGCTCAGATGGCGAACCTTTTGAGCTCGATGTGTCAGCATTTTGAAAAACCCTAACTTAACTCTGGTGCCATGTCACATATAGAAATTTTTGATATTTGCAACCATAGTAAAACAAAGATTTATATTTTTGATATTTATTTTATATATTTAAATGCCATTTAACAAAGAAAAATCAACCAAAAAAATGAGTTCGCATGTCACCTCTGACACGCATGTCATAGGTTTGCCATCACTGGGATAGAGTGTGGGCCTGTGGACTGAAGGGTCCCGGGTTCGATTCCAGTTAAGGGCACATGCCCAGGTTCCAGGCTCAATCCCCAGTAGGGGGTGTACTGGAGGCGGCAAATCAATGATTCTCTCTCATCACTGATGTTTCTATCTCTATCTCCCTTCCTCTCTGAAATCCATAAAAATATAGTTTAAAAAAAAGGAATAAAGTCAACCATCAAAAGAATATTTTATGTCCATAATCATAAATTCTTTCTCCCAGCAAACACAATCAATTTAATTTTACCTTCTATCATATTTATCTGGTCTAATCTCCCCATGTGATTTGTGTACAAGATTTTTGGACTAAATATAGTGAAGCAAATTATAGACTATAAACATCCTGTATGTTACATGCATAGCATATCTTAGTTTTCTCCAAAGGAATATCAATAAATTGCTCCACTAGTAATATTTACCAGACTCGTGCTGCCTTTCCTTGTCATTTCAGTCTAGGTTTGTAGCTAACATATGAAAGCAAAAACAAGCTGCCTAGAATAGATCACATTTCCTTGACAACTAAAAGTAGAGCCACATTCCTTAGGTAGAAAGTAGCTGACACCTCTATTTCTATTACATTTGTTTTCTTTTTTCAGCTTTAAAGTATAATTGACAAATGAAAATTGTACATATTTAAAGTGTACAACATGATGATTTGACATAAACAATGTGAGAGGATTACACCATCAAGCTAATTAACACATCACCTTACATGGTTACCACTTTTTGTGTGTGGTGGGAACTACTCAAAATCTACTCTTAGGAAATTTCAAGTACATAATATAGTATTATTAACTATAGACACCATGCTATACATTAGATCCCCAGAATTTATTCATTTTGTAACTGAAAGGTTATACCTTTTGGCCAATGTCTCCCATTCCCCCCCTCCCCCCACTGCCTGGCAACCACCATCCTACTCTCCGCTGCTGTGAGTTTGACTTTTTTTATACTCTACATATAAGTGTAGATTCTACATGTACAGAATTTATCTTTCTCTGTCTGGCTCATTTCACTTAGCATAATGTCCTCCAGGTTCATACGTGTTGTCACAAATGGCAGGTTTCCTTCCTTTTTATGACTGAGTAATATCCCATTGTGTATGTGCATGCACATGTATCACATTTTTCTTTATCTGTTCACCCAAATGACAAACACTTGGGTTGTTTCTACATCTTAGCAATTGTAAATAATACTACAATGAACATGGGAATGCAGGTATCTCTTCAAGATATTTCCTTTGGATACATGCCCAGTAGTGAAACTGCCGGATCAAATAGTTCTGCTTTCAATTTTTTGAGGAAACTCTTTACTATTTTCCATCATGGCTGTATGAGTTTATATTCCTACCAAGAGTGTACGAGAATTCCCTTTTCTTCACATTCTTAGCAATACTTACCTCTTGTTTTTTCACAATAGCCATTTTGAGGTAATATCTCATTGTGGTTTTGAATTGCACTGCACTGACCTGACTGGTGATTTGGGCATCTTTTCATGTACCTGTTGGCCACTTGTATATCTTCTTTGGAGAACTATCTATTCAGGTCCATTGCCCAATTTTAAATCAGGTTGTATGTTTTGTTTTGTTTTTTTGCTACTGAGTTGTACAGGTTCTTACACATTTTGGATATTATACCCTTTATCAGATATATTCCATAGATTTCCTTTTCATTTTTCCCCAACATCATTTAATGAAGAGACTATCCTTTTCTCCATTGTTCATTGTAGGTACCCTAATCAAAGATTAGTTGGTTGTATATGTATGAGTTCATTTTGGGGCACTGTATTCTGTTCCATTGGTCTGTGTGTCTGGTACCATATTTGTTTTGATTACTATAACTTTGTAATATAGTTTGAAATCAGGATACATGATGCTTCCAACTTTGTTGTTCTTTCTCGTGACTACTTTGGCTCCCTACCTGTGGTCTTTTGTGGTTCCATACAGATTTTAGGATTTCTTTTTCATTTCTGTGAAACATGCCACTGGAATTTTCATAGAAATTGCGCTGAATCTGTTGACCATTTTAGGAGACATTTTAACAATATTAATTCTTCCAATCAATGAAAACAGGGTATCTTTCCATTTATTTGTGCCTTGAATTTCTTTCATGAATGTCCTATAGTTTTCACTTATTCACATATTTTAAACTATGTAACAATACTTCCCCACCAGCTTCTAGTTTCAAAATAGTAGAGCCAAATTTTCTATTGAATAAAAAAAAAAAATCTAGACCACTTTAGCACTGCTTATCAATGTTTTATTAATCTGTATCTAATAAGAAAAAAGTTACATGCATATAGGCTTGTAGTTTACTAAGTGCCTTAAAATTTTATTTGATCCTTTAAGACCTCTGTAAGATAGGTTATCACCAGCTTTACCAAGCAAAAGAGCAAAATGAAATGAAGAGAAATTTAAGTCATTTGTCCAAGGTCACACAAGAAACAAAAGGAGAGTTGGAACTCAATGAAAAAAATTGTGATGCCGAGTCCAGTGCATCAAACCAAGAATACAAGACATATTCCTACTAGAATTGGCAAGTGATATAAAAATAATTTATGTTGTTCTAGAAAAAATGTAATTTGTGTTTTTCCTGAAAAGGGGAAAACTTGCTTAATACATGACAGAAATACTATTAGACTGAACCACCCCAAACACAGTCAACAGTTCTGACCCCTCCAGAACTGAAAGGTAGCAAAGAAAAACTGGCCAGAAAAGGAAGTCAGGAAAGCTACAGGGTGTTTCAGTTTTCTGAAATGAGTACTTTTTTTCATAATATCCCCGAAAACTCAGAGTTGTGCCGAATGCCACAGACTTATTTAAGGTCTTTCAGGAAGGGAAATTCCACAACCATTAGTCCACTACCAACAATATTCATAATCAGCAAGGCCTGTCCATATCCACGATTACTTCCTCCCCACTCTTTCCTTCTTATAATCTGGCTTCTACATCTATCACTCTTAATGAGACTCCCTAAAACAAAATTCTTAACTTGGATACAGGTATCTCAATTAAATTTATGAACTCACACAAAAAAAGTATGCAAAACTATGAGCACACATTCCTTTTTTTGAGAGAAGAATCCACAGTGTTCATCAAATTTTCAAGATTTTTTCCACATATGAATCTGAACAAGTACTCTTGGATCATTTTATCCCAATGTAATTTAGACTTACCCCTTGCTCTCTATACTAACACCACCCTGTTGCAAAAGTCTAACTGGTAACTTCCCCAGAGCTAAGTGGCAGAGACGGGAAATGAACCCACTGGCTATTTGACCCTGTAGTTCAAGCTCTCATTCATTAACTATACTGTTTCCAAGAAGCACAAAGAACTGGTACCATTCAACTTCCTACTGAAGATCCTAAGTGTCTTATAATAATTACTAGATCACAGCTGACCTTACTACTTTGGTACTCAGAGCCAAAAACACTAATTTCCTGATATACCCACCAGTCTCTTCCTATGATCCAACACTGAGCCTTTCTACTCTGGGGACCTCCATTCTCCTGAAAAGCCCCAAAACAACGCATTTCTGCTTAGTACAGTAGGAATGAATGGCACACATATCAATAAAGCAAAGGCCAATGTAAATTCACAGGACAGCAGAAAATCCCCCAAAACAACCAATCAATTCATTTGAGATGAGCTCACAGATCTAAGCAATAAATCCTTTTACCTTTCCTAGTAATTTTATAAAGATTATCTAGATAACTTACACTTCTAGCTAAGATGAAGACAGATAGATTGAATTTACCAGCTCACCTGAAACAAACAAAAAACAGACAAAATATATGAAATATTTTTCAAGACATTAGATATCAGACACAAAAGACAGTAGTGATCTTCTTAGAGAAAGGAAACTAATATGGTGGACAAATCCAGGCTAAGCCAGCAAACTCCCAGAATTGAAGCTTCAGAGCTTAGAGTCCATAGAGACCAAGGCAGCTAAAGTTTACAACATAGAATTCTGGATGAGAGAACACAGGAGACTGTAAAGGGTCCCTTTTGAGTATTTAGCTCAGTACTGACCAAGAGTATTGTGTGAGAAAAGAATACTAGGCTAAGAACCACTCTAAGTGGTTAGAGGGAATCATGCCTGGTACTCACACAGACCAGAAAACTCTTGTTCCCACCAGAATTGAAAACCTCTAAATTCACAAAACACAGAATTGAGTAAACAAAAGAGCCTTGCCTCAATTGTGTGGAATAATTAGTGCTAGATGAAAAACTGCTCCAGGGCTCCTTAACAAATTTTAAAATCAAGACCACAAAAGAATAAACTGTTTCCAAGTAAGTAATGGCATCCAAGAATAAAGCATAGGAAGGTTTATCTCTTATATAAAAGGCCCGTGGCTGTCACGACCAAACAAGCAGCAGCTCTCGCGGCCAGCGGGGCACGAGCTACTAGCGGCAGAGAGCTACAAGCAGCGGAGAGCTATGAGCGGCAAAGGGCGGGGTAGCGAGCTACGAGCAGCGATGGGCTGGGCGGCCAGCTGAGGCAAACAGAAGTGAGCTACTCGTGCACGCTGGGCCTCTAGTATTAACATAAAAATATCCAACACCCAACAAGGATAAAATACTTACAGTCATTAGTTCCTGACATAAAGTCATGAACTAATGGAACAAGTAAAGAAGCAGGAAAAAAATATGACTCAAAGTGAGGAGAAAGTCAATAAAAACAGAATAAAGAACTGACAGATACTAGAATTGGTAGATAAGGACTTGAAAACATAGATAACTATCTTTTCAATGTTCAAAAAGTTAAGACAGAAGACATGGAAGATATAAAAGACCCAAATTGAACTTCTATAGATGAAAACTGTAATGTCAGAGATGAAAACTACACTGGATGAGATTACCAGGATACAAGAAATTACCAAAAAAAACTAGAGGCCTGGTGCATGAAATTCATGCACGTGTAGGGTCCCCAGGCCTGGCCGGCAATCAGGGCCGATCAGGGCCTTTTGGCTGACGGCTGGGGCCTTCCTTCCAGCTGCCAGCCAAGGCCTTCCTTCCCTGGCTGCCGACTGGGGCCTTCCTTCCTTCCGTGCCACCCCTGGTGGTCAGCGCACAGCATACCAAGCGATCAAACTCTAGGTCTTTTGGTCGAACTCCTGAAGGGACACTTTGCATATTAGCTTTTTATGTATATAGAAGATGGGTGAACCTGAAAATGTAACAATAGAAACTATCCCAAATAAAACAGAAACAAGAGAAAAAGTATCATTTAGCTGTGGGATAACTTCAAGTGACTTACAATATATATAACTGGAATTCCCAAGAGGGTGACTGGTGTGAAAAAAGATTTGAAAAAATAATGGCCAAAAGGTTTACCTATTTAATGAAACAGGACCAAGAATGTCAATGAACCCCAAAAGTCTAACAAATGTACAAAATCATACCAAGACATATCATAATCAAATTACTCAAAACCAGCTATAAAGAGAAATATCCTTAAAACAACCAGAGAAAAATGTGTGATATATGGAGGAACTAAAATAAGGACAATAGATTCCTCAACACAAACAATGCAAAAAAGAAGACACTGGAGTAACATCTTTAAGAGAGAGAGGAAGACAGAGAGAAAGCGTAACCTAAAATTCTACACTCAGTGAAAGTATCTTCAAAACAAAGGCTAAATGAAGACTTTTCAAAGTTACTAAAATAAAAAGAATTAATCACCAGTAGCCTCTCACCATAAAAAATGTTAAAGGACACCCTTCAGACAGAATGAAAATAACACCAAATAAAAATATGGACCTATATAAAGGAAATGTCAAAATCATTAAAACAGTTATTATATGCTAAATATATGAGATTTTTTTAAAAACTGACTACTGGCACAAAAATAAGTAACAAAGTAGTAAATGTTTAATAAAATGTGCAAAAGTAAGATGTCTGACAATAGCACAAAGGTGGAAAGAAATGAAAGCATGCTATTTTAAGGCTTTTATACTACATATGAAGCAATGTAATGTCACTTGAGCCGACTGTGAGAAGTTAAAAATGTATGACACACACTAAAATAAGTAAGCACTAATATAACAAAATAAGTCAACAAAGGAGATATAATGAATCATAAAAAATGTTAAATTAATACAAAAGAAAGCAGGAAAAGAGAATAACAGAATAAGTATGAAACAAATGTCAAAATGTTATTTGATAGATTAAATATAAGATTTAAACCTAATCATAACAATAATTACACTAAATATAAATGGTATAAATACCCCAATTAAAAGGTAAAACTGTTGGAGTTGATAAAAAAGACCTAACTATATGATCCCTATAAGAAATGCATTTTAAATATAAAAACAAAGGAGAGGGGAAAAAAGGAGACATTTGTAATACTCTTTGTAATACTTTAAGCCAGCGGTTCTCAACCTGTGAGTCGTGAACACTGAAAATACATCCTGCATATCAGATATTTACATTACGATTCATAACAGTATCAAAACTGCAGTTATAAAGTAGCAACGAAAATAATTTTATGGTTGGGGGTCACCACAACATGAGGAACCGCTGTTAAAGGGTCGCGGCATTAGGAAGGTTGAGAACCACTGCTTTAAGCAATAAAACAAAATTAAATACACACACACACAAATAGGTTAAAAAAAATAAGAAAAAAAAAAACATTCCATGCAAACACTGACCTAATAAAAGCTGGAGTGGATAAATTTATATCAAAGTAGATGTCAGAACAAATAATACTACCTAGGATAAAGACAGTAATTTCATAATAATAAAAGAATCAACTCACATAGAACACATAAAAATCCTAAAAATTTATGCAGAGCTTCAAAACACATGAAGCAAAATATGATGGAACTGTAAGGAACAAATAGATAAATCCACCTTGATAGTCAGATATTTCAATATCCCTCTCAACAGAACAAGTATGCAATATCAGCAAAGACAGTACATAGAACAATATTCTCAACCAACTTGACCTACATGACATTAATAGCACACACTATCCCACACCAGCAGAAAGCACAGTCTTTTCAAAATGCACACAAAATATTTACCAAGATAGATAGTATTTCAGGATATAAAAATAAGTCTCAATAAATATAAAGGGACTAAAATCATAAAACATATTTCTAAATACAATATAATTAAGACAGAAATAACAAATATCTCTGAAAAATACTTTGTGGAAAGAAAAAGAAAATAAAAGGAAATACCATAGTATACTAAAATGTCCTGTAGGTCATAATAATTATATGCCCATAAGAATGTAAGTAATGCCCTAACCGGTTTGGCTCGGTGGATAGAGCGTTGGCCTGCAGACTGAAAGGTCCCAGATTCGATTCCGGTCAAGGGCATGTACCTTGGTTGCGGGCACAATCCCAGTAGGAGGTGTGCAAGAGGCAGCTGATCGATGCTTCTCTCTCATCGATGTTTCTAACTCTCTATCCCTATCCCTTCCTCTCAGTAAAAAAATCAATAAAATATTTTTAAAAAAGAATGTAAGTAATGAATTATTTAACCAAAAATTGCACTATGAATATATCTTGGAGGAGAAGATAAAACAGGGTGGAGAAGAAAGCAAACATTTTATATAATAAAAAGTAAAAAATGACTAACAGTCATAAATCAAAGCATAGCAATGTATGTACATTAATGGTAAATATGGAGAGTATAAATTTAGAACAAACAGCAGAAAGAACTGAAAATGGCTGCTTCTGGGGGAAAATGGAAGGAATAGGGAGGTGTGGGTCATTTTATTACATACTAGAGGCCTGGTGCATGAAATTCATGCACTGGGGGTGGGGGGGCGGGGGAGTCCCCTCAGGCCAGCCTGTGCCCTCTCGCAGTCTGGGAGCCCTTGGGGGATATCCAACTGCCAGCTTAGGTCCACAGGAAGCCATCCTTAGCACTGTGAGCTCAGCTTGTGGCTGAGTAGCACTCCCCCTGTGGGAGTGCACTGACCACCGGGGGCAGCTCCTGCATTGAGCGTCTGCCCTCTGGTGGTCAGTGCACATCATAGCAACCAGTCGTTCTGCTGTTTAGTCACTTTGCATATTATCCTTTTATTATATAGGATTATTTTGACTGTGCTTGCAGTACTTTGACAAAATAAATACTTCTAAAAGAGACTTTTATCTACATCATCTTATTTGATTCCTAGAGAGAAAAGTATACTGACCTCCATTTGACAAATTAACTGATATTCCAGATTGCATAGCTTGCCCAAAGTCAGAGCCACTACACTGTCTTTGATAATTATATATACAACACTTACCATGGCATTATTTACATAGATAATTAAAAGAGGAAAAACTATTTTCAGTTCTAATTTTTATTTGTTTCTGTAAATATTTTGTTTTTTTGTCTCTACTGAAAATAGATTCGTTGCACAGAAAGAATATTCACACTTAACCTCCTGTTTTAGTATATGTGCTACTGAAACAAACACTTAACCTCCTGTTAATAAAGGAAATCTAAATCTGCATTTTTGGCAAATGCAGAGAACAAAATTGTACTCAAAATCCAAGATTAAACATTTCTTTTAATCATTATTTTAATTGTCACAGAATACATATAACATCAAATTTACCATCTCAACCATTTTTAAGTGCGTTTAGTGGCATTATGTACATTCACACCATTGTGCAACAATCACCACCTTCCATCTCCACAACTTCCCAACCCCTGGCAACCACCATTCCATTTTCTGTCTTTCTGAATTTGATCTCTTAGGTACCCCACATAAGTGCAAACAAAGACAGTTAATTGTCCTTTTGTGACTAGTTTATTTCACTTAGCATAATATCTTTAAGATTCATCCATGTTATCGCAAAACTTATTAAAACTAGTTTCCAAACCAGTAAAAAACGATTCCTTGATAATACTGTGAGAAATTAAAGCACAGTGAACTTAAGAGATAATAATTTATTTGAACTCAGTTAACTTCCATTAAGAAAAAATGTTTCCCTCTCCCTTAACCAAGATCAGGGCCCGACAGAATAAAGGGAATAAGCCCCAACTGTGAACTATTAAGACAAGGTATCTTGGTACTTGATAATATACTAGCACACAAAGGAAGGGAAAAACCCTAATTTGTTTTTTAAAAATCTAAACAATTACTTTTACTCTAAGGCCAATGCTCTTTTGTGTTGTGCAACAAAAGTGTATAAGGAAGAGCTTCTGTCAGTGCAGACTTTGTCTTTGTTTTCTATTACAAGGGTGGGGCCACAGTAAAGACAATGTGAGGTGTTCACAAAATACTGAATCATAGGTAAATATCTTATAAATCAAGAAGCCAAACAGCCTCTATTCAGTCACACAAAGCTGAGATACGAAATACATGAAATCTGACCTTTACAATATACTTTGAAAAGGTTCCCTTGGTTGCAGTTAAAAAAAAAAAAAAAAAAAAAAAAGACAAGCTTGTTGTGTGCCATTACATTCCCCTCCGTTCTCTTACTCTGAATTTGTGCATTTACTCTAAATACTGTGCATTTATTTCTATCTAAAACGCACAAAGAGGTTCCACAGACAACCTTTCAATGAAGCCACTAAACACAAAACACAGCAGCCCTCTGGGATATCAAAAACATCATTCTGATATTAGGGTGTCACTGGTTCTCTGAATTTTGATTTATGGTACAACTAGAAGCACCCAAAGAATTTTAACAAGGACTGATAACCAGTAGTGCCACAAGTGCCTATGTGTCCGACAAGCACTTAAGCAAGAGGTATTTTTTTCATACTCGGAATATTAACACCAAAAAAAAAAAAAAAGTATGCTTAAAACAAAATCAAATATTTTATGTGACAATTATATAAAAAAGTATTTTAGGCAAGACATTCATTTTTGTTTTATAAAGATTAAACCATTTAGCATGTACACAACTAAGTGACTACCCCTAAAATAATACTGCCGATAATGTTCCAATGCATCTGCTTCACTTGCTATTTTTCTAGATAATATGCAGTTTCCCCTAACCCCTCAAATACAGAATATTAATATCCAGCACTGCCATTACCCATGTTTTTAAATTGCTACACAAGCTGTTGGTGACACCATCTCTATGTGACACCCGTTATAGGCCAAATCACAAGACATCAATCATCTTAAAAGAAAAGGAATTTACTGCTTTTGACTTTCTTTTTAATAAAGACAAATTCTGGTCGAGGGAAGCATAAAAAAAGTATTTTCTTGCCCAGCTGGTGTGATTCAGCAGTTGAGAGTTGACACAGGAACCAAGAGATCGCAGGTTCGATTCTCAGTCAAGGCACATGCCCAGGTTTGCAGGCATGATCCCCAGTAGAGGGTGTGCAGGCGGTGGTGATCCATGATACTCTGTCACTGATGTTTCTATCTCTCTATCCCTCTCCCATTCTCTCTCTCTTTAAAAGTCAACAAAAACATATTTTTTTTTAAAAGTACTTTATTTTTTTTTAGGCTCCTCCTGCAGAGTCATTTAAAAACTTTGAAGGCAAGAGCATACAATGGAGTAAAGAAAGTCTATTCAATAAACGGTGCTGGAAAAACTGGACAGGTACATGCAAAAAATGCAACGAGACTACCAACTTACACCATACACAAGAATAAACTCAAAATGGATAAAAGACTTAAATGTAAATCATGAAACCAGGAAAATCCTAGGAGAAGACATAGACAGTAAAATCTCAGACATCTCTTGCAAAAATATATTTGCCGATATATCTTCTAGGGCCATGGTCAGCAAACTGCAGCTCGCAAGCCACATGTGGCTCTTTGGCCCCTTGAGTGTGGCTCTTCCACAAAATACCACACACATACACTGCGGTCGCACACATACACTGCGATTGAAACTTCGTGGCCCATGCGCAAAAGTCGGTATTTTGTGGAATAGCCACACTCAAGGGGCCAAAGAGCCGCATGTGGCTTACGAGCCACAGTTTGCCAACCACGCTTCTAGGGCAATGGAAACAAAGGAAAAAATAAACACATGGAACTACAGTGGGGCCTTGACTTACGAGTGTCCCGACTAACGAGTTTTTCGAGATACGAGCCGTCTCTCGGCCGATTTTTTGCTTTGAGTTGTGAGCTAAAATTCGGGTCACGAGCCAGCTTCAGATACCCCACCGCTAGTTGGCGCAGCAAACGTCACGCCACATCAGCCCAGCATCACGTGTCTCACTCATTCACTTTATGATTTGACATACGAGTAATTTGAGTTACGAGCTCCGTCACGGAAACGAATTAAACTCGTAAGTCAAGGCCCCACTGTATAGCAAACTAAAAAGCTTCTGCACAGCAAAAGAAAACCATCAACAAAATAAAAAGAGAACCCATTGTATGGGAAAACATATTTGCCAATGATACATTTGATAAGGGGTTAATTTCCTAGGACCTGAATAGACACTTCTCCAAAGAGGACCTACAAAATGGCTAAGAGACATATAAAAAAAAATGCTCAGCATCACTAATTATCAAAGAGATGCAAATTAAAACCACAATGACGTACCAGCTCACACCTGCCAGAGTGGCTATCATCTATAAATCAACAAACAACAACTGCTGGCAAGGATGTGGAGAAAGGCAACCCTGTGCACTGTTGGCAGGAATGCAGACCAGTACAGTTACTATGGAAAATAGTATGGAGTTTTCTCAAAAAATTAAAAATGAAACTTCCTTTTGACCCAGCAATCACACTTTTGGGAATATATTCTAAGAATTTTGAAACACCAACCAGAAAGAATATATGCAGACCTATGTTCATAGCAGCATTGTTCACAATAGCCAAGATCTGGAAACATTCCAAATGCCCATCAATAAATGAGTGGATAAGAGAGCTGTGTTATGCCCTAACTGGTTTGGCTCAGTGGATAGAGCGTCGGCCTGCGAACTGAAAGGTCCCAGGTTCGATTCTGGTCAAGGGCATGTACCTTGGTTGCGGCCACAACCCCACTAGGGGGTGTGCAGGAGGCAGCTGATCGATGTTTCTCTCTCATCGATGTTTCTAATTCTCTATCCCTCTCCCTTTCTCTCTGTAAAAAAATCAATAAAATATATTTAAAAAAAAAAAAAAAGAGAGAGAGCTGTGTTAGCGAGCCAGTGTGGCTCAGTGGTTCAGTGTCAACCCATACACCAATAAGTCACCAGTTTGATTCCTGGTCAGGGCGCTTGCCTGTGTTGTAGGAGGTGTGCAGGAGGCAGCCAATCAACGTTGATGCTTCTCTCTCCCTTCTTCTCCAAAATCAATAAAAATATACTGAAGAAAAAATAAAGCTGTGATACATTTACAAAACGAAATACTATGCATCTATAAAAAAGAAGGATCTCTTATCTACTGAGGTAGCATGGAGGAACCTGGAGAGTATTATGCTAACCTAAAT